GGAATGAAATTTACACCCATAATGGCATACCATTTTCAATAGTAGACAACCCAAGGTATTGCAAATGGGGTATGTCCAGTCTTTTTTAGTAGCCATTTGGTCACAAACACTGGCCAAAGTTAGCGTTAGTATTTGTTTGTGTGTGAAAAATGCAAAAAACGCCAATTTTGGCCAGTGTTTGTGACTAAGTGGCTACTAAAAAAGACTGGACATACCCTGTTTGCAATACCTTGGGTTGTCTACTATTGCAAATGGTATGCCATCATAGGGGTAATTTTCATTCTTGGGCTACCATAGGGTCTCAAAGGCAACGTAACCAATCTGGCGAATTTTAATGTGAAAAAAATGAAACACAAGCCTTATATTTGACACTGTAACTTTTGAAAACACCATAAAACCTGTACATGAGGGGTACTGTTGTACTCGGGAGACTTCGCTGAACACAAATATTTGTGTTTCAAAACAGTAAAAAGTATCACAGCAATAATATTGTCCGTGTAATGCTGTTTGTGCGTGAAAAATGCAAAAAACTTGACTTTTACTGGCGATATCATCGTTGTAATACATTTTACTGTTTTGAAACACTAATATTTGTGTTCAGCGAAGTCTCCCGAGTAGAACAGTACCCCCCATGTACAGGTTTTATGGTGTCTTGGAAAGTTATAGGGTTAAATATAGTGCTAGCAAATTAAATTCCCTTTACTTTTGGCATGGGTTGTCAGGCAGGTCCCGCTAATTGTAATTAATTAAGATACCTAATTATGTAAAAATATTACATAAATATATATGTAGAATTAATATATGTATATATATATACGTATGTGAATCTATATGTGTATATCTATATAATTTTTAAAAAATATTTTTATTTATATATAGGTATATATATAGTGATATATACGTATATATTTATGTATATAGATATATATATTATTTCGTTCTACGTGTATTTTGATATAAATATATATATATATATATATATATATATATATTAATTTCACAATACAGTTAGAACGAAATAACACACATCTATATATTTTTAATTATTTATTTTTAATTATTTTTTTAATTTTATTTTTTAACGTATTTACATTTTAATTTTTTTTATAATATATATAAATATATATATAACAATAATTATATATATATTTAATCAGTATCAGTCTACGTGTAATTTGATATTAATATATATATATAATTATATATATATTAATAGTAAAATACACCTAGACGGTGTATGTGTGTGTATGTATATGTGTATATATATACTTAGATCATATATATATAATATATATATATGATCTAAGTATATATAATAATTTTTTTTTACACCATTAACTTATTTTACTTTTATTTTCAGCCAGCAGGGGGACCACCTGTCATTACAGGCAGCCCCCCTGCCGGCAATACAGAAGCCAGCTATACCCGGCCATGTGATTGTGGGGTCCTCGCTAGGACCCCACTCTCACATGGCCGGGGGGCTTCAACGAGGACGGATGTGCCGCGGGGGGCTCCCTGGGAGTCCCCCCAACCGCGATCGCCGGCGTGGGACCGCCGGCGACCGGGTAAGTTAACAAAAACCGGAGGGCGTACAATTACGCCCGGCGGCGTTTAGAGCCGCCTATTAGAGGGCGTAATTGTACGTCCTCCGGTTTTAAGGGGTTAAATAAACCGACACCAGTTTACATAAAACTGACATCCACGCTTAACTTGTACATAAGTTTCATTAACATGACAACAAAATATTACAAGTACTAGCTACCATCATAGAGATTGCTGTGAATGTACACAGGGTTATTAACTGAAGTGAGAATTGTCAGTAATTCAAAGTGAATTTCATATTTAATGTGACTCTATAGTTCTGAAAATAGAAATCATTATTTTGTGACTATAGGTTCACTTGCAGTGGTGAGATTACAGTCAACCTCCAACTTTGCTGTGTAAAATTACCTTAAATTAGATTTACTCACCTCGTTTCCAACACCTGGACCCCTCCACTGCACCCTCCATCTTCTCTTCCAGTGATCTCAGCCTCAAAACTGATATCACCCTAGATCTCCTCTAATCCATTGCTTCTCAAAGAGAAATTGGCATGCCTGGCCAAACACCGTACTATCAGCAGCATTTGATTTCAAGACCATGTTTTTGGTACTAGAAGAGGAAGTGCCTCTAGTGGCTATCAGGAAGGAGGATACTGCAGGTGTATTTAAACCTGCACCCACGCCAGTTCATTGAGAAAAGCGGTCTGGGTGATTTAGGGCTGAAATAGCAAAACTGGAAATATTCTCCAACACTGCTATACTTCCAGTTCATCTACTATGGCCTTAAATTTCAATTTCCCTTTAAATTCCTGACATTTCTTACTTTAGTGAATAACTTTGTAAGTGCAGTAATAATTCATAAACATATGCAAACAAGTTTCTGAACAGGAATAATATTGAATATCTTTTTGAATAAATACTCAGCTGTCCTCATTTTGTCAACTGGCAATGGCTCTCATGAGGTAATTTCCCTTTATCATAGTTTAAACACACAGAACCTGCAAAATGTGTACTCTCATTCTGGAGTTTCTTTGATTAGAACATTTATTATATAGAATAAAACAAACCAAAAAGACTGCACCTGCATGATATCTGATGTCTAGAACAAGGACTGCAATAAAACACAATCAATCAGTTGTGTTTCTGTGGTCTGGTTTTGGAACTCACTACACTAAAATAAAGATCAAAAGTTTATTTTCCCTTCAACACTGGAACATTTTATGTGTACTGTATAAGTATTTGATTCTGTCTCCTGTAAGAAAAAAATAATACTTGGATTTCACTGTTGTGTGTGCTTTTGTTTATTGCTAAATGCATAAACATCAGCATTTTGGCATTTGGGAACATCTATAAGGAATAGAAATGTCCTTCAGGCCAAAGCTTCTAAATTAGTTAATACAGGCAAAGAGTTCAGAAATACAGCAAACAGTGCAATAAATATATTGATTTAGCTGCCTGTGGGAGTTAGAGAAAAAGCAAAGTAATTTTCACTTGAACACGGTATGTTTTTATCTTAGTTCTACCTGACTGTTCAGCTGATAAAAAAAATAAAATAAAAGAAATGGATAAAGCAATGCATTCAGCTATGAATAAAGCAATCCAGGTGGTAAAAAATTTTACAGTGTAAACTAGGTTCACAGAATAGCCTGCAGTTTTACAGCATATGGTGTCTTATTGTGATTGAAAGTGATCCTTATCACTAAAGTGTGCTTATTTGTTAACAGATCTTTAGGTTTTATGAACCTGTAACTTTCTACTGAAATGCATTCTTAAATTTTTGTATTTGCACCATGTATTGCTACTTCTTACAAAGCATTTATTTATTATACATGTTGTACGGTGCAAGCCATCTAATTGATGCATTTATGGATATAATATCTTGAATGTAATCCTTAACACCCTTGCTACCAAGTGCTTCTTGATTGAAAATATATTTGCATACCATGCATTTGACAGAAGGGATGCACAGCAATTTTATTTATATATTGCTTTGCAGACAAATGTAAAAACTAAAATATTATAAGATTACACAATTTTTATTTTTCACTTATTTTTCCAGCCTTTTTAAAACATGTTTGGGACGTTAAACACGTTAGACAGCATGCAGTATTGTTTAAATGCAATATTTCACACAGTGTCTGAAATGTATAAACAAAAGTAGAAAAGCAGAAATGCATTTTATTTTCACGTACAGTAGATGTGACAAAATAAATAAAAATTATCAAATGCCTTATTTATAGGTATTTGTAAGTATCCTGACAACATTACTATGTCTGCAGCATACTAAAAATGGCAATAGGCAATATAATGTAAAAGGAGTAAATGCATTTAAGCATAATGACCACATGTAGATGCGAATATTCATTATGCTCAATATCCTAGCCCATTATGCTCAATATCCTAGCTGTTCATATAAGGGTTAATTTGACCCAAGAATAAATTTGGAATTGTATCTCCAATTCTCGGAAATAAAACTTATCTATTTATTGGAACATGATTTTGTTATGTTCCTGGAAAAGGATATTTACATGACATGACATGACATGATAAGGATTCTGGATATTTACATGACATGACATGACATGATAAGGATTCTGGAATGACCTTGTTAATTGTCCAAGATTTCGGTATTTGTAATCATCTGGGTTTTATCCAATATGCATACATTATGTAACATCGAATTATAACTAAAAACAACTTGTGAAAAATAAACTATGTCACAATGCTCAATGACCCCCACCGACATGAAAATGGGGTATAAATATAACTGACGTATCAATCAAAATTTGAATTGGTTATTGAACACGTCTCTGCTATTCATTTCCAATTTCCAGAGCTCTGTATGAGTTGGCAAATATCCATCATCCACAAAGGGCCCGGGCTGATTTTATCCCCAACAAACTGGTGTTCGAAGTGGGGTGCAATTGGGAACTCAGATTACAGGTAAGAGGATCTTTAGCCCCTTGGGGACACAACTTCTGGAATTTAAGGGAATCATGACGGAGTATTTCTCTCGTGTGTCCTTAAGGGGTTGGGGACCTTTGCCTGCTTCTGCCATCCTCCCACACATTGCATTTCTTGTTTTAATGGGGTTTTTCACTATTTCAATTTTTAAAGGGGATTTACACAGGATAATGTCTTTGGTAGACATGGTATTTTAAGTCTTAGGTAGACTTCTATTACTCCACGGGTTGGAGTAACACCTTTGGTAGGCAGTAGTAGTTATGTGCACATTTCCTCTTTGGTAAGAGGTTCACCTTTGGCCAGGTGTTAAAAAGAATTTCAAGCCTTTGGTAGGCTGTGATGTCCTGTGATGTGCATTTACATATGGGAGACGTCCCTAGATCCCTCTTTGCTAGAGGTTGCCTTTGGTAGGTTGTAAAACAGATTTCCAGTCTTTGGTGGACTGTGGTATTTATTTAATGTAGATGTAAATTTTGCAGATTAAAATGGTTTAAAAAAAAAAAAAAGAAAAAAAAAAAAGGGGGTTAAAAGGTATGATGGATGTTTGGCATTACTCCGGCTTGCTAATTTATGTGCTATTTTATGGTGTGCAACGCTGATTTTAAGCATAAAGTCTTAATTGAGGGAATGTCAAAAGTACATGTAAAGGTGATGATGAATAAGAAAAAAAACTAGAGGTTATTTAAGGGGGGCTACAAATTCTAGAACTAACATGATTTCTCTGCATGTATGTATGTTTGCATAATGAGCCCCTTATTTTTATATTTGGACAAAAGTACTATAATCCCACTACACTTTTTCATGAGAGTGGGATGTATGATTGTTTATATGATGAGCCCTTTATTTTCATATTGGGACAAAAAGTCACTTCATTCAAAACGTCAAACACCACATTCGTTCTGCCCTGTGTGTTTGTTGCAGAAAATTTATGTTGTAAATTTAGAAGAGAGCAAAATTTATATTTTCAGCGTTCCAACACATGCTTCATTTTGTGCTGTAAGCTAACTTGTAGTATTCCAGTACGTCACATGTTGTGCTTTAAATTGTATGTATTCTATAAATTGTTGAATGGGAATGCTGAGATTTTATTGCTTGTGACCCAAACTGTGCAGAAGTGGGTTTGAAATTTTGGTCATGAAATGTAGGATCAGAAAACCATGGACAAAGGTTTTTTACCTGTGTTGATATGACTTTTGGAAACTCAAATTGACCGGTCAAAATTTTGCCATGCCTTTAACATGGAGTAGTATAAATATTTTGAGTCTTTGAGAGTTCTGACAAATGCAGGTGATACCATGTCTGTGTAATCTGGTCCAAATGTTCTATAAGCGTATAAGAGAGAAATTCTATTGACAGGGTACATATGTTGCAACTGGTTAATGCAAGTGTTATACAAATGTTTAAGTCAAACGCGTTATATGGCTGTACGGGATCCCTTCTGTAAAAAAATAAAAAATAAACCCTTTGGTACCAGAACTCTTAAATAAATCCGATACAAACTAAAATTTGTATACCTTACAATAATATGTTCTAAATACAGCTGTTAGAAGTTTATTCTGTGTAAATGGTGATTGTGATAAATGTATGTTTTGGTTACTCATTTTGAAGTATGCAGTTTAATTGTCATGTATGTTAATGGGTATTTTGCTGTGTTATTTTAAATCATATTTGAATAAGTTTGTCTTAGTATTGATACAGATGGAAATGGCAGCGTAATAATCTATTAAATAACTGATTTATTATTGAATACTAGTCCAAGAGCAATATGAGTTGTAGAAAAAAAAAGAAAAAAAAAGAGGGAGTCTGTTTTTGTAAATTTTAGCTGATTTCCAAAATTCTGTTGCAATAATGGACTTCCTGCCAAAATTTGACTTTCCTGTCCAGTTGCCAGGTGCTCTGATCTAATCTTAAAGTAGTACTGCTTGCATAGTTTGCAGACATGCATAATGCACAAACATGGGAATTTATATTATGTCTGTCACATAGTGTGACAGTTATTAATTTATTTTGTATTGAGTTAATTACCTGTCCAAGAATATGCTTTTTGTATTGGCATGTCTGCTGGATATCTGTTAATTTTGTTGTGTTCTGTGTTATAAGACATGTGTGATATTACAATGAGTATGAAGAATATTTAAAGAATATTTGCATGTCATTAAAGCAAGCCTTTAGTGTCTTTTTACAACAGATTTAAAAAAAAAAAACGCTGATCAGCCAACAAGAAAGGGAAAGAAAAAGAAAAAATATATCATTTGCTTTTCAAAATCATGGATCCACGTTTCAGTATTATTAGGGGAGTATTTAGAGTTAACGCTACTTTTAAAGTGCATTGCATTATTTAAGAAAAATAAAAATGTTATCTTTAACATAAACAATTGTTATGTTATATGGTTATATAACAAGAAAAAAATTATGGATGTATAGGATAAGTTTTTTCCAAGATTAAGATTCATCTAGTATGCCTCATTGATTATAGCAAAATGATGAAATGGTATTTTTAATAGAGATCAGATAATTTCTTTTGAGGCAATTCTTAACTACTGTATTGTATTTGTATTGGTATATTGAAAGCATTGTGCAGACCCAGAAGAGAATAAATAATATAATAATTATAAAAGGAACCATACTATGGGAAGAGGTCACCATATTAAATTGCTAAGGGGTTAAACTCATTTTTGATAAGCATATAAAATTTAGTTTTTGTGGTTAGAATTTTTGATACTCAATTTGAACTCAATTGAAGTATTACAACCATATCCTTGCAGGTATAGGAAACAGCTTTTAATATTTGCAATATATTAGTGTTTTTTCAATGTATTCTGACAATGGAAAAGTTCCTAACCGCGTGTCTGCATTACACCTATGAACCAGACTGTCCGTATTGCAAACCCTATATTAAGACTGTGCTTTCACTGTTTATGTATACACCCCTAGACAACCGTGCTATACATGCACAATAAATCTTCAAAAGCTTATTAATATTATATCTGTGTGGTACACAAAGAGGTGTACACAAAGAGGGGGTGTGAGTTAGGTCATCTCGACCTTCATATGGAATATGCTTCCTCCTTGTTCACTTTTGGTTAAACTGTTGGTCTGTGACTGGCCCTCTTTGACCCCAACTGAATTTCTTGGGAAGATTCATGAGAAAGATACAGCAGGTTGTTTTGATATAAAGAAAGAGGGAAAAGTATGTTGTATCGGTCACAAAATGATTGTGATCTTAAGCAGGCGAGATAAGGACATTTTGGAGGGGATAGGAGATTGAATCAGAAAAGTTTTAGAGGCAGAGGTAGAGAATTTGATCAAAGGATCTAACTTTTGTAGAGGTGGTAACTTCAGCACTGTTTTAATTGTGGATAGCAGGGATTCACCCAAAGGTGCTTGTGGTGAACCCGGTTCTCCTAGTCAAGCTGGCCCCACTGGTATTGCCAGTGTCCCTGGCTTCCCTGGTGCCTGTGGTGCTCCTGGACCTAAGGGTAACAATGGTGAACCTGGTGCTCAAGGAGACAAGGGGAGAACCTGGCCCAGCTGGCATTCAAGGACTCCCACCCTGGCAGGTTCCTCAATACCAACCACAACTTTCAAGTTATACCCACACCCAACAACCTCAGCCTAATATACAGATGGTTCATGTTTTTAATACTTTATATATAGTTTTTATAGATAAAACAGTATTAATGCTGGCTCTTAGAGGATGTACAAGCTGAAGTTGGGACCTAGACATTGTTTGCATAGGCTGTGCAATGTGAAATAACTAAAATAAAATAGGATAATAAGTATGTTTAGTCAATTTGTAAGGTGGTATAATAGAGGCATCTGCAATAAAATAAGTGGGTTTCCAAGACCTGGCAAGTGAGAGCAACTTAATATAACATATGTCTACAGTTTGCTGTCCCTTCCTTATCAGAGGCCACTTGCAACACAGCAAGACAACTCTTCCGAAACCTGGATTAAACAAAGCACTTTAGAACAATAGTAATTCATTTTGTTCCTCTAGTTGTTCTGAAAAATATATTGTTTAAGTGGGATAACTGTATGGAGGGTCCAACATGTATTAAAACATGATCACACACATACAGAACTGGTGGCTTTTTGGACATCGGGATCTATAAAAGGTTTCGGTTTCCAAAGATGTTAGCAGGGTCCACAAAACTGACAGACTTCAGCATTCCAATTTTATTAAAGTAATTAATTGGGATTATCAAATCAAGGTTTAAATTTAAGAACAGCATTTTATTGGGAATTATACCAATATGTATATGTTAGTGTTTTAGTACTCAACAAGCATTTATATAGAATGAGTGCTTCTCTCATCCATACAAGGCATTCTAAAGGGAAATTATGTATTAAAATTTTATAAAGAACAAATTCAATGAATTATAAGCAAAACTGAGAGACGTACATGTTACACTAGTTAAGAGTTTAACTTTAGTCTCTAATTTGAGTTTAGCCTAGATAATTAATTTATTGATGTCGGACTGATGCTTGTGTTTGTATGATTATAGAGACCGTACTGGAGTATTTGTGCCGCCTGATATTTGGGACTACACACCAATCTCTCTGGCTGACCTACCTGCCTACCTACCTTTTTTGCAATTAAATCTGTTTGGTCAAAAACCATGCTGGCCGAAGAAACTGAGATGCTTACTTATGAGGGCATAAACTAACTTGGAAAGTCCTGAAGATGCAGTGCTGTCTAATGCTGCTATTTCTGTATTACCCTTTCAACAATTGGGGTGTTGCACAGAGTATTGTGGTGAACATCCAGCAAACAGAAGAATTAAGAACTATGTGGAAGCTGACATTGTCTTGTTGTCAGCCATATTGCTACCCTTAGCTATGTTATGGTGTCTAAGATTATGGAACAAAGTTTATGGTGTCTAAGATTCTTTATACTCCTTGAAAGACTTATAATATTTTTCTGGACTATGCTGGACTATTGAACTATTTTGTTATTTTTATTTTTGTAGAGTTAGCCGGAGAGAGAGGAAGTGTTAGCTTACTCAGGCATGGATGTACTATGTGTGTCATTGATGGATGTTAAGTGTACCAAGGATGGATTCCAATGTATTAAGTGTGGATATGACTGGACCATCAAAATAGGGATTTGATTAGGAGGCATAGGATGTAAGGTCATGATTGGGATTATTGCTAGAATTGCAAACTGATTAGAAATTATCTTACAGAATATGTAAGTGGGCCTTTTCAAACTCATCAAGAAGTGTTTCCCAATCCCGATACCCGAGCTATTTACTTACAAGTGCGGGTTTTATAAGTCACTAATGCTGTCAACATGAGGGAATGACATGTTTACACAGTCATGGCCCTCACTTAGAATTTACCCAGATGTGTTTTTTTCCTCAATTATGAGTTTTTGCCACTGGTTTTTTTTGACCTGGCCCAAGTTCACTGGGTGGACTGGTAATCAAAGACCCTGGTCCAAAGAGGGGAAATAGATTTTATTCCCATTTTTGATTATATGTGTTTACGTTGTGAATTATAATAATAATATTCCCGTTGTTGGGAATAATACACTTTGCCTGTTTTGATCCAAGGCTCAAGTTACAGATAACATGATGTGCAGTCTGTTTAAAATTGGTTAAGATGTCAGCTGTTTGAAATATTTAACTTGTACACTTAAAAGATGTGTACAACAGATGATTACAAAAGCTGAAAATCGATCTCCTCTTAAAGGGAAAAAACCTACGGCACAGAGCAAATGGGGGAAATCGAGGTGAAGAAATAATGAAAGTCCCGCAGACGTGATTAGCACGTCTGAATATACCTCCTTTGGTTTCTCTGCCGCAGGCCTCCCATGGATATTCCGTAAGGTAGATCATGATATGATCTAAGAGGGGAATTGTAGATGCGAATATCCATTATGCTCAATATCCTAGCTGTTCATATAAGGGTTAATTTGACCCAAGAATAAATTTGGAATTGTATCTCCAATTCTCGGAAATAAAACTTATCTTTTTATTGGAACATGATTTTGTTATGTTCCTGGAAAAGGATATTTACATGACATGACATGACATGATAAGGATTCTGGATATTTACATGACATGACATGACATGATAAGGATTCTGGAATGACCTTATTAATTGTCCAAGATTTCGGTATTTGTAATCATCTGGGTTTTATCCAATATGCATACATTATGTAACATCGAATTATAACTAAAAACAACTTGTGAAAAATAAACTGTCACAATGCTCAATGACCCCCACCGACATGAAAATGGGGTATAAATATAACTGACGTATCAATTAAAATTTGAATTGGTTATTGAACACGTCTCTGCTATTCATTTACAATTTCCAGAGCTCTGTATGAGTTGGCAAATATCCGTCATCCACAAAGGGCCCGGGCTGATTTTATCCCCAACACCACATACATTATGTATTTTAAAAATTAAGATATTTAAAACTTCTACAACAATATTTAGCACTTTCTGGAATGGCAATGTAATGCTAACTGTGAAATGGTAGAGCCCTTTCACTCCTCTCCAGTGTCTTACTGCAGGAATCATATGACCTATTTGAACTCTCTTTACTGTTTGAAACCCGCAAGTGTCCTTACATTTCCAATGCATTTACAGCAATGTCTCAAAAATAGTGCCTTCCAGCAGAGAAATGTATTTCTCTACAGGTGAGTCATTATAATTAGAATAAGAATGTGAGTGGATGAGGCTTTATGAACTAGATTTCATGCTGCAAAATACATAAAGTTGGGGGTCTCTTATTGGGGGAATCTGCTACAAGGGATTGCTATGCTCTGCATATTCCCTTGCTATAATCACTCCTAAGCTCTTTTAAGAGCTTGTTCCTGTCATGCTCGCTGAAGGAGTCTACGGTGGTTATGGTGCTTGGAGACCTCAGGAAGCGCTAGGAGCATCCTTCAACAGAGGTACCCAGTCGGGGTGGAAAGTCTACAACAACGGGATTAGACACCCCTGGGTGTTACAAGAAGCCACACTACCCCAAAATATTTAGGGTTCTATCTTAGCATCAAGATAGAACACCTTATCTTTCTCCAAACTGGAGAAGAGTTGCCTACCACAGGTAACACTAACCCTAGACCTCAGGTACCTGAACCGAATTAGCGATTACTTCACACAGAAAATCTGGTTCCTTACAGTGTATTGTTATGGACAGATGAATTAGAATAAAATGGCTATTTACTAATGTCTATTTATTCTGTGTTCACTATGTTAATACTGGCTGCTAGAGTAAATATTCCCTTCCCCCCCTACAATGTGTTCAGTTGCTGTTTCCTATGTAAATTCTTCATCCTGCTAAGCATCCCCCTTCCCATCAAGCAAACCTTGTGAAACCAAAATTCCTGTGTTAACAGCTTCCTTTACTAACTCCTCCCCCACTTCCTTTGTGCCAGTTAACAGCTATATGCCACGTGTAACAAAATGGAGAATCACTGTTAAAGTAACTGAAAGAAACTACTCACTTACCCTGTCATCGTGTATCCAGGAGCTGGAATATAGGTGGGAGAAGTCTGTAATGATGACACTACATCCTGTAGGGGGGGGGGAGGGGGGTTTAGACAAGAGCCCTTAGACTGTTAACCAATTGTTGAATGTATACTGTATGTTTAAACTGTGACATATTTTTGCTTTAAGAAGGAGCCCCCACTCCGGGGAATAAAGCATTCCTGGGTTTTTCACTGATCAGAAACTTTGTCTCCGGTGTGAATTACTTCTAGGGAAAGCGTGCACGCATTAATCAATCAATTTGGAAGGTGTAGATAGACAAATTATCAAAGTTTTCTTTGATCCAAATCAGTTGGCGCCCGAACAGGGACTGAAACGGTTACGTTAATAAGGACGCCGTAAAATCCCAAGACAGGAGAACAAAGGATTCCCAGAGATTGGAAACGGAGCCTGATCACCTCTGCATATGGTAAATGAGTTACTTACCTATATTTTCCTTTCTTTGGATTTCTCTTATTCTCGTGCCTTCACATTCGGCTTCCTGTGGTTAACGTCTTCAGATAGGTAATATATATATATACCCGAATGTCCCCTTTTATATAGAACCTGTCACTTGTCTATCTACAGCCTGAGTCCTGAGTGTGAGTTTTATGTGTGAAAGTGTCTGTTTGAGAATCTGTTTTACTTTCTTTTGATTATTGAGGTCGGGTTCATAGAAAACACCTGGCGATTGAATTCAGGGTGCAAAAATACCTGGAGATTTAGGCCAGATTATATTAATATTTTAATATTTTAATATTAAATCTAGGCGTTTCTTTTATTATTGAGTTCAGGTGTGCATAATAGCCCCTGGCGTTTTTTGTTTTTTTGTCCGATTTATATTAAAATTAGATCGTGGCGGTTCTTTTGTTGTTTTTAAGTTCAGTTTGGAAAAAAAAGCTGGCATAATTAATTTTAGTTTAATAAAATAATAATATTTTAATTTTTAATTTTTTTATTTTTTATTTTATTTTTATTTATTTTTCCTA